GACACACTCGCTGCGAAGTGGACAAAACAGTTTAGCGATGCATCTTTATATATATATGTATTTATAATGTGTGCACATGCACTTAAGGATGTTCATCACGATTTAGCGACGCTTGCCAGCGAGTGGGAGTGTAGACTTATTTGCTCATTTGAGGTTGCGATCCGCACATACTAATACTGTATTACTTATGGCATACCTAGAACCTGATCGACCCCTGTTTTGGATCCAACACGTGGTCTTTTCCTATCAAGCAAAGGTCATGTTTGGGTTCTAGAAGTTCTAGGTATATATCCGCACATACTAATAATAGTTACTATGCAATACTGTATTACTAGTTGTATTACGTATACATATAGCACGTGTCATACCGTAAACCTCAGTGAGAAATCAAGCATAGATCGGCTCCTTGAAATTGGAACAAATTGGAACACAAAAACGACCCATGTTGTAATGAATACGTTTGTTACTAGTAGAAGTTGTTTGTCCCGATGCATCGTTTCATGGTTTGAACATTTATCATTAATTAATATATAATGATTTCTCTCAGTTGGACAACAGCATCTTCAGCGCTCCAGCAATGATTTCCACTTCGCAGATTCTCGCCGGCGCCGCCTCCGGCCTTAACAAGGCCATGAAGTCGTGGAGCATGGAGCGCTTCACCGAAGACTTTGGGCATCAGAGACTTGGCATTTCGAGACTCCAGGGCAATCCATCGAACCTCCATCGGCAGAGACTCGGGAGCCTCGGGAGAGCCCGAGGTTTGGATGTTTGGTAGCGTGTTTGAGATATAGACCAAGCAGAGCGGGCTGTCACAAAACAATGGTGATGTTTGCGTGCTGTTGACTCTGACTCCTACTCCTGAAGAAAGACTTTCCACATGCTTGCATCACAAACTGAGATATGGAATGCCCAATCAGTTGCAAGAAATCCAAAAGTGAATCATTTTTAGCCTTTGACCAGATACCCATAAAAGACTACAATCAAATCTAAGAAACATACACAATATGCTGCGAACCACAACAAGTTATATTACGATGCAGACCCTTTGTTTTGTTTGGTACGTTGCATCCTTGTTCAAACCCGTTTCTCCAGAGTTTTCCTTCCGTGAGCCCACAGGAAGATGATTTGCGATTGGTGCTTCGGCCTCCGTTTGAGGCTCAACGACTTTGCACCTTCGGCCTCCCATTCATCGGTCCAAAACGCGCCCAAGGTGTAGGATTCGATGAAAGAAAGTTCACGGTGCAATGCAGTCAACGCAGTCGAAAAAGAATAGTCCCAGCAACCTTTGGATAATACTTGCACGACAACGTCAGTGTGCGAGTTTTGAAGATTTGCAGCTCCTTACAGTGCGCCATGACATTTTTGTGTTGAGCTCAAGAAGCATGCAGGCGCGAGGTAAGGCCAAAACGGCGAAGAGAAGGCTTGTATAATAAATATAACTTCAGGGCCATCATAGTCCTCATTGTTTTATATTTGCTTTGATTGTTACCTTGGTCCATCAAGACTCACTAAGATCCTTGCCACGGTTCTAATGAGGCGGAGTATGCGGCAACACAAGCAGACGATGACCCACTGTACTTGTTCGACCATCTCTTTGGAGAATATCCAGCTACAAAGAGCTTGCTGGATGAGTACCAGGTGCCAAGCGTTTTTGGAGAGGACCAGAGTTGGGTAATTGGAGGTGACACGGAGGAATGCATGTCAGAGCAGGCATCAGAATCATCGCATCCAAGCAAAATCACGCTAAGAGGTGGTGCATGGTGGTGCACACGAGCAAGGGATTCTTCAGAGTGACTCAGTGTCAACCAAAATGGTAAAAAACACTATCAATCACCCGCTATCCATGACTAAGGTACTTGTAACACCAAGGTATTGAGCATTTTCATGAATTTTAAACCCAAACAACCAACCACTGTCGCTGTAGATGGATTTGAATTGGCAGGACCTTCTAGCAGGTCTTGGATCTCTTCGACCACCCTATCGTTGGCTGCTGGTGGGCCCCCGACGATCTGGCAGCAAAGTGCATCAGGAAACGGTTTTCAGCGGCACTTCTAGAACTATTGGGGATGGGTCGAAACCTGCAGTCCTGGTGGTCCACCATTCAGCTTGACCTCCCATGCGGGTCAACCAAAGTATCCTGATTTTAGCCTATACCTAGATCTTCGTATGAGGCACTTCTCCAAAGAATTTGCCTTTTCCCGTATGGCGGCGTATGCTGTTCACAGACGAGTTCGCTCCTCTGACACTTTGGGCTCATGGGCTCATGGCCGGCATGCCAGAGCCCCAAAGTCAGTCGAGGGTCCGCAGTCGAGACGGTCGCGAGACTGCTGCGAGTCCAACAAAATAGATAGATACAGCATGATGCAGCCATTTACTGTAGTGCAACTGATTCAAGTTCGGTTCATGTATTTGACTGGGTTTTAATCTGTTTCTCAGCTTCGAAGTCTCTCAAAGCAAGCATGTGCATGTTTTTTGTCAATTGTGTTCGCAGCCACTCAACGGGGCAACTTCAGGGGTGTCCAGGTTGGACTAACTGAGACAGCCCACTCCGGAGGAACAAAATTCATCCCTCGGTGAAATGGGGATCTCCAATTCGCCCACTAGGGCGCAGACCTCCGAACAGGCCAACCTTCCCACGGACCGGGGTAAATCATGATTTGAGTTTAACATGTTAATTAACTTAGAGTGACCAACATGTATATATGGAATATAGTGACCATTGCTGTCAAATTGGGGGATGGTCTATAGGTGACAATGATTCGAGGATTTGTTGATGGTACAGCTTCCCTCCAAAAAAGGACAGCATTCTTTCGAGCCGGCAGTTGTTGGGGGATTGTTTGTTTCCGTGACCAAACTCATCGTTACACAGGATCCCTTGGGAACCAGTGCCTGGAATGCATTGATCTCTGGCAGATGCTTGACACGAAGAATCGACCGGCCCATGGCCTGTTTGCGAAGACACCAGAGAGGTGGACGACTTCAAGGGCCTAGAAGGTCGCATCGAATAGAGACATATGGAAAAGACGCATCTATAGAGACATATGTTGCAAGAAGTTTTCCAAGAAAAGCTGCGCTGCTTCTCTTGCTCGATGTTGGACTGGCATGGACTGGCAACATCTTCGATCGCCAGGAAAGTTATGGGTGCTTTTCCCTCCCAAAACACCCGCCGAGAAGTTGAGGCTGGAAGGAGCAACGAAATGTCATGTCACCTGAGCCCCAATCGCGGTAATGAGCTCTGGATTCCTCAGCTGCTCCCACCATCCAAATGCTTTTCAGACACTGCTTAGACAGCTTCGGCGGTGTTCCTGATGCGGGGTTTGCACGGCTATTTTGGCCCACACATGATACACATTTGGAGATGTGTGGATTCGGAGATACGGTGAGTCGACATTCACTGACAAAACGCCGACGCAACGCAACAGGCCGGAGTCCAACGAGTTGAAGGAGTTGGACTCGGCGGCGGGGTGGTGCCTGGCTGTCCTGTTGAGTGGGTGGGATCGGAGGTTTGCAGAAGTTGGAACTCTACCAATCTTAGTTGGACATGTTGGAAGTTTGATGTTCATAGGCAAGTGACGGAGAATGCTGTTAGCAGTTTGTCTCGCTTTGTGGATGGGTCTATCGTGGCGAGCAGCTCTGAAAGTCAGGTGTGGCTCCTCTTGGGGTATGCAAGTGCGCTTGGATCATCTCCCGTCTCGCCACCATCAACGTACCCCTGTCAATTCGATGTTCATGGCTTGAACAACGGGTCGGCCTGGTCACCAAACTTGCGACTCTTTGTGCCACTCACCATCACAAACGGGATCAAATGGGAGCCATGTCCAGGTTCCTGGGCTGGTGGCAGAAGGCACGAGAAGAAGAGTGGCCCAAAGAGTTTCAACCCATCGAGCGCCTTGGTGTCGTTTGGGTGCATCCAGTGGCTGCTTTTGTGATTTTTTACTCACACCGACAAGGCAGGAAGCCTTTGGTTCGTTTAGGTTCGTTTAGGTTCTTTCACAGACATATTAATCAGATATTGATTCGTGTTCGTTTTCTAAATACAGTACATCGATTCGATTCGCATTCGTTTCGTAAACGATTCGTTTCAACAACTCTGGTGCGTCAAAGTTGTTTATTCGGGGGTTGAACTGTGGTGTCTGAGGGGGTCTCAGCGCAACCCCCGAAATGCGGTTGTGAGGTCAAAGTGGTTTATTTGGGGGTTGAACTGTGGGGGTCTGAGTTCAACCCCCGAAACCAGGTTTTGAG